AGAAGCCGCTTTAGGGGACCCAAATGAACTGCTATTTTGTGAAGTTCCAGGCTGATTAATTTTTCAAGGATAAACCTCAAGTTCGATTGACTTTCAAATAAGAAGGTACTAACCGCGAAGAAATTACGTAGCTCTCCATGATTGTTGAGTTCGACACGGATTTTGATGAATTTCACCATCAGATCTCTCCATGTGGTGAACATGGTCGGTATGGCTGTTGATGAAGGGATAACATCACAATCAAATGTCCAAAAAGCCAATCTCGGATAAATTATACGCGAAATAACCTGAAAAACAATGAAAAATAATACACAACCGTAATTTAGCCAGAAGAAAACTAAAACCAACCAGATAGCCACCCGGAGTATGACGACTATCAATAAGTCTGTGCATCAGTGCAAAAGAGCGATCACTCAGTTTGCGCAAATTTTTGAAATCACGCAAAGTTTCCACAACAGCAACTTTAGTATCTTGACTGCAGTCAATCCTTGCCATGTCCCGCACCAGCATTGTCGTCGTCAAAGGAATTTCGGCATAACTGGAGAGTGAAACTGCAATCCAAGTAAGTTTACTAGTTATGTACATTTGGGCATGAAGCTCAATCACTTACTTTTGCCTAGCAGCACAAATAGCGATTCACTCGCTTCTTTAAAAAGTTGCTTGACTTCTCCTTTGTCAAAGGTCCTGGCTACATCAACTTCCTCTGGAAATGTTTTAACTGAGTAATTACCGAGTAAGCGGATCGACAGAGTTCTATAAGTACCTTCTGCCTCATCTTCGTCAACATCCATCTCTTCCTGTCTCTTCTTCTGCTTCCCCTTTCTTTTAGCTTTGTTCTGAGAGCCGGCTTCACAACAGTCGTATGCCAAGCATCGGTATAGAGAACGGAATACTTGTAGGCATTTATAAAATGGTTTATAGTTTTAGATAATACTTGTTATACTGTGAAGTTATAGAGATGAGATAAGCGAAAACTAGTACTAGTTATCGGTAACTATACAGGTCGCCATGGACAACAAAAAGAAAGGAAAAATGCTAGGAATGCGCGTTACCTGATAAAGGTAAGGATTGAAGATATGATAGGCTTTCGAGCCTTTTATACTAGCAAGATGGAGATAAGAACAAGCCGCAAGAACTCCTCGCTCAACCAATTCGAAAGTACTGAAAAAGTACATTTTATTCAATCAAGGAATCATTACCACGAATTCAATGAAGGAATCTTAACAGTACCTGTTTTTGTTGAGAGCCCATTCCAAGGAATACCAAAGTAGGACACAAAGTTGTCGACCGGATATCTCGACATTGATAAGTTCGTTCCATACTTCTGGGTCATCACATTTTTCTTCGAATTGTGCCAAGTTAGTGAGCACTGAACCGAAAATTTAAACAGATAATCAATATAATAAATGATTGGGGCAGTGGTAGAGTAAAGGGATTTGTAAAAGGCCTAATAATGTAACATACACTGTCTGAGATGTGATGTGACGCGAACATCCTCATAGAATGACGGAGTGAACACAGCGGATATAGCAGCGAAATCCATGTAATTTCCTTCGACACTGAAGAAGTATACTGTGAAATGTAGAAGGCAACACGCAGAGTAGTGGAGTCATAGAGTCAGTCCTACCTCGAGGATGCCCACTCATCTGTGATGTCCTCTACAGAGGAGAATTCAGATCGAAGAAATTCGATCAGTTTGGCAATTGACCCCATTAATTGCTAGAAATAGGCAGATAAGAATAGAAAGTTCGAAACAAAAACCCACACCAGAACACCTCGCTTCCATTTGATCGGTGAAAATGTAGTTGGGGGGTGCCACGCACTTTTGTGCTCTGCGTCTCTTCATTTCTTACCCCATCTAATCATCTCCCCCATCCTGGAGCTCCTCCCTTTCCAAAAGTTAGAGAAGGAGCTCCGGGGTGGGTGAACCAGTTG